AGCTTATGTGGGTCAACTGTAGACGAGCGCCAAACATGATATTTGACCACCAGCCAGCTCGGATTGCTTTCCTTGTGGGACCTTGTTGAATTATTTAATTTCTCGATCTGTTCGTTTGTGAACTTCATTATGACAACACGAATCTATTGTCAGTTAGTGGATTTTATAGTATCCACAAAAATGCAGACTCAGAGTAAAAAAGTACAGTAGACAGCTTTGACTGAACGTGAAAATTCGAACAAGTGCAATTTCAACTGATTGAAATGTTGTAGACAGAAAGGGGATTAACATATGGAGCTCAAATTTGTCAGGTTGAGCAAACAAGGCAGGAAGTAAGCATGTTCACCCACTATATTTCAGTGAACTATGCACAGCAACCAAGAGCAACAATCACATGTGAGGATTTAAAAAATAAACAAACATTAAGCGAGAAGTAAAGAAATAAGACATTATCGAGAGTGTCAGCAGTGATCAGAGTGGAAGTCGGGAACTAAGCGGCCTTTTTTTCAGAAAGTTATTCACTATTCCCGACCATTCACAGAAAATCACACTCACAGTTTATAACTTTAGGGTTGGGGGCTGCCAGCTCCCTTTTCTGCTCTAAGTCCCTGACATCAGACGGCAGAGTGCAATGGGACCGCGCTAAAGTGCAGAGATGGTTTCCCCTCTTCTCAAAGTTAGGGAAGGAGCTCCAGGTGGGTGAGCCAATTGGATGTTAAATTTTTACCTCATCTCAGCTTTCCATTCGAGATAATCATCTCACCCATTCCGGAGCTCCTCCCTTTCTGAAAGTTAGGGGAGGAGCTCCAGGGTAAGTGAGCCAATCGGATGTTAAATTTTTACCTCATCCAGCTTTTTGCAAGAGTTAATCACCTCTCCTACCCGGTGCTCCTCCCCTAACTTCTAGAGCGGGTGGGAACCATGGGGGACGCACGATTCGTGCGATTCTGGGTGCGCGGCAAACTGACAATTCGTGATGATTCGAACGACTCTGACGCCTACTATTGGAGCACAAACTTGAAGTAGAGTAGATTAGTAGGATCAGATGCCTATATCCAACTATTCTACTTCAAGTTTACGCCCCAATAATAGACGTCAAAGTCGTTCGAATCGCACCGAATTTCGCCACGCAATTTGCCGCGCGCACCCAGATTCGCATGAATCGGCACACACCCGGAAACCATCTCTGCGCTCTAGCGCGGTCTCTATGCACTCCGCCGGCTGGTGTCAGAGACTCAGGGCACAGAAGGGCGCTGGCACCTCCCCCCTCTCCCCAACTACGTTTTCACCTAACTTTAGTACTTTGGTAGAGTCTATGATCGGGAGCCCAAGATCACTTCGGAAATTGGAAATCTGTATGCGATGATGGGGTTAACGTTGCAAGAAAAGGAGTTCAACATCAGGCTAGAATACCTGAAGGTTCCCGTTGTCTTGCCGAGATTTAAATGATCATTGGCAACCGCCAAAAAGTACTGCAGAAACCTTGTATGGGATCGATCAAGGAATGTCCGTACTGATTGAATTATACCATTCACATAGGAACACTGAATGAAACTGGTCCCGTACAGACAAATACTGTATCCGTACAAAAATTTCCAGTACTTCGGTAAAACAGGAAGTTCCGAAGAAAACTGAAAGTTTTTGTATGTAAAAAATTATCGAAGGAGGGGAAGGACAGGATATTTGGTTAAACCACTCATGTTGCTGCTTAAAGTTCATGAAATACGCAACACCTATTGATCAATGGCTGGCTAGAGAAAGCCATTTTGAAGAAATAGAACGTCAGGTAAGCATACTCGAATGTACGTGGTGGGATTGCTGTATGAGACTAGGGGCAGTTATTGGAATCGCAATGCTGGTCAAATGGCTCGTTTGATCTGCGTTGACATTAAAAGAGGCATTGAAATTCTTGCAACTGATTCATGGTTATTTATTGTTAAGTATACACCGATTGCCGATGACTAATGTATACACCGAGTGAAAAGCACTGGAAAGTTCGGGCAAAATGATATTGCCCTGTCAAACCCCTCTCTTCACGTTGATGATGACTTCTTTATAGAATGACGAGATCCTGGTCGTGAAGTTGTTGTAGAGCTCAAGAAGCATCCTTATACAGTAGCGCTCTAAGGTATTCAGCCAAATGCTTCTCAGGTGCTGCTTTTTCAGTCGCAACTTCTTTCCTACTGGATCTACTCATGCGAAACTTCGGTATGCGTAGCATGGGTGTGGTATGAAAATTTACCACTATCAATCGCAATCTGATCATGCTCCAAATATCCCAAAGGGCTGGAACAAAAAATCAACTGGAAATACGAATGATAGCCAATCTGAAACTTCTTTCCTTTTTGCTATGTCTAAAGTGTACGAGCGCTAATGCCGAACCCAGAAGAGAATAAAAACGTACATAAGATCCGAATAACTGCAGACGTCACAAAATTGTTTGAGCATAGTCTACGAACGCCTCCCTATTAGTGTGTGGATATGGCTGTTCTGCAGTCCAGTAGTGTTGGACAGTGTAAAATATGCTTCAGTTAAACATATCAAAATTTCATACGATTTCTTCCACTGAGAAAAAGTTACGACCGAAAATGCTTGACCGAATACTTTTGAGCGCTACTGTATATCTGTAGGAGTAGGAACACCATGTTTGCCCAAGGCTTGAGTTATTGCTTCTGTCTCAACGATATCAAAGACCTTCTTCAAATCGATGAACGTAGGACATAACGGCATTTTGTACTCTCGCGATACTTCAATGAGCCTTGTTAGAGTGTGGATATGATCGATTGTACTGAACCCTCTCCGAAACCCTGCTTGCTCGCATGGCTGTCCTTCATCTAATATTCTGCCGATCCTGTTCAGGATGACACGAGTGAAAATCTTGTAGATGGCATACAGCAGGCAGGTGGGGGGGGGGGTTAATTGCCAATATCGCCTGGATCTTCCTTCTCATACAGCAACACAGTCTTGCTAGTTTTCCACGAAGTGGGAACTTTGCATTCCGACAGGTATCGCGTGAAGAGCCTAGCCAGAGTTCTGACGATGAGTGGTGGAAGACTCTTCAGATGTTCTGGTTTGATCCTATCGGGACCGGGCGCCGTACAATTTTTCATCGACATGATGACATGTCGAATTTTGGAAGGGCGAACCGAAGAAGCGATGTATTCGTCTTGCCTAAGATGGTGAGTGGGCAGATAGTCGTGGCTGTCGAAGAGATCCGAGTAGAAGCCGTAGATGACCTTCTCCATTGCCCTTCGAGATGCAGTAACTGTTCCGTCAGGGCGACAAAGTGAAGTCATCTTGGTCTTGTAATTGGCGAAGCACCGCCGGGCTTTGCGAACACTCTTTCCAACCTCGGCGGCTTCGTCCATAACTGATGCTCTTCACTCTTTCAGATCTTTGTTTATTGCTTCTGCGCATAGCTTCGCAAGTTCGGACGTTGTTGATGATTGAATGTAGCTCGCGCGATTCCACGCGGGCGCATCAGCTGAACAGTCTCTGAAGGGAGTTGACTTATGGCCACTTGTTAACTCTCTGCTTTCCTAGCACTATCGTGGAGATGTTCGACGAACCGGTTGTGTTCTTCACCTGTTGGTAACGGAATTTCCCCATTACTCGTAAGAGAAGCGAATTGGTTGCAGTTGATGGAGGTCTTGAGGCTTGATATCTGACCTTCATAGCTCTCTCCAAGCACTAAGAAGCAGAATCTAGCGCGTAGGGAACGATGGTCTGATCCCATGTAGAACTTCTGAACAACAGCGACGCCGTCAGGTAAAATCTCCTATGGATGATGATGTGCTACTTTTTTATGGAACTCTCCACTAGGTGACTCCCATGTGCATCACAAATGAGAGGGATTCTGAAACTGCGAGTTACCATGGATGGTGTAGGTCGACATTATAAACTCAGACAGCCCTTCACCCTGCTCATTCACTCCATTCCAAGAGTCCCAATGTGGAGCTCTTCAGACGAGCTTCTGTCTTCTTCTGGGTTAATCTTGGCGTTGGAAACCGACGATGACCTTGAAGAAAGTAAGGTCTTCTTTGTATAGCTTTTCCACATCCATATAAAATGCTTCCAACTCTTCTTCTTCGTAGCTTGATGTTGGTGCGTAGGCAACGAAATTAGTTAAAGTTGGGCTTGATCCACATCTTTCTGATCGCAAACTTTCGATTCGGCTTGTTAAGCTTTCCTAGGAATCGATGCTCATGCTCAAGTGCCTGCTGACGAGGACACCTACGTCGTAGACGCCTTTACAGCGTGTAGCGGGCAATGCCCTCTCGTCTCAATCAGTCTGATGGCGTCGTACTGATCTTCCTCGCTTGCATCATCAAATCTCCCACACACGCCTCCGATGCAGGCATCCGGGCGTTGAAAGCACAGATAGCTGTCTCAAAACTTCTCCTTTTGGGCAGCCTGTTTTGGCCCTGAGGTTTCAGCTGCCTCTCCCGAGCGGTCCTATCCAACGCTACCGTATAAGGGGCTCGCTCAGGCCCAGGGGAATGAGGCCCATTTGTGGTACTGTTTTTAGCAAAAGGATACCCAACGTGCAGTTTGCCTTGCCACGCTCTCACGTGGGGGCTGGATTGACTCAGGGGGCTAGCCAGGCTATGACACAGTGTAGTGAACGAGGGGCTTTGTTTCTGGTGGCGGCCCCTAAACAGTTCTCAGATACTTCCCAGCCACTCGAATGCAAGCTTTTGACTGACTGAGTCGATGGGCATCAACTGCGCCCGCAGACTCTCCACACACGTAGGAAAAACAGAAGGTGTATAGAACAGCACAGCGGTATCAGGGAGTTCACCCATAAATCCACCTGCGTCTCTGGGCAACTACTGGCGACTTTAGGTCGATTTGCTCCTCTATCCGCCACCTGGGAACGCCCTAAGTAGCTTCGTCGATAATAGGCTGGGATCCTTCAATGAGGGAGAACCCTCAGTGGAGGAGATACGTAGCGGTGTTCCAAACCTTGCAATTTCGCTCTCAAGAACATCGTGCGTCATATGGAATGGGAAGGAATGACAGTGAAGGTCGACGACCGCTACTTACATCATCTCCGCTTTGCAGACGACGTCGTGTTCATAACACCGAACATCGAGCAGACGGAACGACTGTTGGCCGAGTTTGACAGTGCTTCTGGAAAGATCGGCTTACAGCTGAACCTAACGAAGATGATGCTCACGAGAAAAGGAATAAATCCTGGTGATCGTTTTACGCTGAACGGAGCGAATACCTCTGAATGCTTTAGCTACAAATAACTGGGTCGTGAATCCAACACTATGAAGGACATAGCTCGGGAGCTGAGTGGAAGGAAAGGCGCCGTGTAGGGAGAATTCAAGAATATCGAGGCAGTTGAGAAGAAGACAAGGAACATCCGGCTCCACCCTCACCTTTTCGACACTGCAGCCCTTCCTGCTTTGACATACGCCTCAGAGACTTGGACTCTGGGGAAGCAGGATTATGTAGCATGCTGTCAGCGTTACTCAACGCGTTTAAGAAAGGACGATGCTCGCGATTTCCCTAAATACGCAAGTACAGAGGGAATCCGGAATTCCATGCTTTTTCATCAAACGAAGATCAGTTATGCCGTCGAGGTGGTAGGGGTGGTACATGAGCGGTCGTAGAGCAGATTGTGAACCAGCCGATGCTTCAGGGAGGGGGGGGGGGGGNCTAGATCTTTCAGACCCGATCTCCTCAAGCACTTCCTTATGGAATTGCTGACCTCATTAGGGATGAATGGTACAACGAATGGAATTTTGTCGTTCAGCAATTGTGGGAGGTCGAAGAATGTACGTAGCCATTGGACGCAGCTATTTCGCGTGCCATCCTCTGATTCTATTCGACATCTTCTCCGCTGCAGGCACTAGCTGCTGTACGGAACAATATTCCAATATACAAGAATACTCCCTACAATGACCAGCTTTATCTGAGAAGGATGAGCCGAGTGGCAATGCACGATGATATTGTTGTCGATGAACTTCCTGTACCATTTCGTCGAGAGCATCCCGCTGTGCAGCCTCATTTGTACATTCAGAGATGGAAGCCAGCTTACAGAGGGTCGTTCTCGTGTCCGTCGGATGTGCTCGGATTGAGCGTTAAGTTAGTCAAAACACATGTTCATCTGTTCTTCCTTCAAGCAAACCACTAAACAGTCATTACATATAGCGGCAGTAGAGCATGGAGCAGTGTCACAGTACTGGCACTTCAATTCTGAATCTAAAAGCTATGACCAGAGTGGGCGCTAGACCTTGCCCCATAGCTAAGCCCCTGATCTGCTCGAAATACTCTCCCGACCATCTGAAAATGTTGCGACTGAGACATTCCTTGAACAATGATATCACTGATCAGTAGAGAGTCCGTGAATGTTGATCATGACTTGGTGCTGATTTATTCCTTTGAGAAATTACTTTTCACGTTAGTGTAGAGACTCTCTACATCGAATGATTCCATGACGGAGGCACTGTGGGGTTGAGGCGCCTATAGCTCGTTCAGGAACATCTGGGTGTTTGTCAGGTGGGAGGGTATGTATTTGAGAAGCTGCACCAAGATTGCGTTGAGAAACTATGCTATCCGATCAGTGGGACCACTCACGCAGCTGATGATAGGTCGAACTTTGATCGAGGTCGGGCACTTGATGCAAATCATCCGTTGCTGCAAACATATGTGTTTTTATCAGCAAGTATAATACGGGGCAACACGACGACTCGATTTTGAACTGTGTTATCAAGGAAGGGAACCCGCTGATTTGGCAGTAGTCATCCATGCTCGGTTGAGTATGCGACACCGCCTTTGAATGTCCTTGACTCCCACATGGTATTTTGTTATGATAACGTCAACTTGACGCGGGCTTACCGCAAGTTCTCCTCCTTTGTCACTGATGGGCAATTTGATTTTCCAGAACTTGACTAAATCTTGGAGCAGATTCGGAGTTTAGGGTTGCTCTCAGCTGTCCGTTAATGACAGAAAAATAAATTTAGCTGTCCTTCTGGTTGTACCCCCTACAACCTAAAGCATCGGCTGATTCGCCATTGGGTTTGCGACCGCTCATTTACCACCACTAACTGTGTGTCTGCCCAACCGGTAAGGAAGGCGACTGCACAATCGCAGGGACTGTCTACAAGATCAATGTTGCAGCTGTGGAGAGGTGTATATCGGCGAAAGACCGCTATGCGTATACATCGAGGAGCACTTACAAGGAAGGTCTTTCAGGGCGTGAGACGCTTTTTGAAAATGGTTTTTTGCATGGTATAGGGGCATAAGCACTGAGTATAAAATTATGGTCCATTTCCGCTAAATGGCCTTCTGAATGCCAAAAAACGACTGAAAACGATTTTGTTTCGCCGTTTTAACCCACTCAGCGTCGTTTGTTTCATTGATGGCGTCGACTGTCCGTACAGTAGAAGGCGCCAGTTAACTGCGCATTGAAAATAACGTGAAAGGTAGCCAAAAAAGGGGGCCACATGTTAAAAAGTGCGGGGAACTTTCATATAGGCTTTCCACGGTTAAGCTGCCAGCAG